CTAATGCAGCCCCATATTCTCTTAACCTTCTTCACAACAAGTAGATCAACTTCTTTACAAAACAGCAAGAGAAGCACGCAGGCCTAATGCAAACAGTAACCTAGATGGATCAAGTCACCAGGACAAGCTCTTAACCAAACCTGTACCTTTAAAGACCTTATTTTATTCTCAGTACAAAATGCAAAAAGTGTGCTAAATACAAAAGGACAGAAGGAAGCACACTTACTGAAGCAATCCATCTGCTGGGCCTCCTTGGAGCACATCTGAGATAACAATGGATGTTTCACCATTTTCAAAGTGAGGGTTATCTTTGCCACCAGAAACAGCAATCCCAAAGCCTCGTTTAGAGTCCTTTCACAAAAACAAAAAAATTTACACCATGAACTTCAATTCCATCCAAAATATTACTGCATTTTGATACAGAGAAAGAGTAAAACTAACGTAATGTTCCTATCATCACTGAAATATTCTCTTTGAACATGGTCATTACAATAACGTAGTCTGTATGTTGAAACGCAGAGTTCTAGAACTGAACAATCCCCAAAGTAAGTGGAAGTGTTAAAAAACAAAACAAAACACAAAAGTCAAAAAATTAAGCAGACAGACTGTCCAAACCCCCCCAGAAATGATAGGACTTGTTACTTGTTACTTCCTGTGCAATTCTGCTCTTGGTTTCCTCCACTGCTAGCAAGTCTCAAACTATTTACTGTATAAACTGCTGCATTTCTTCAATGAATGCCGAAGCCCCTAGAGCTATTTTCTTAGCAATTAACAATGAATATGAGATATTATCAAAACTATAATTACTTCTTCATGAAATGGAGGGTCCAAAATTGCTACTGATAACACACGTTTAGCTGATGAGTGCTTTGTGTTACCTTCTACTATAAGGAACTCATACATTATCAGGAAAGTAATTTTGTCAAATCTGTCTCTGGAGACAGGGTAGGTTGCTGTAATGTGGGGCTTTTGGAACTCTTAACAAAACCAAAACAGTGTATATTGGACTTACTGAAAAACAAGCAAGGTTTCTATCTATATGCTAAGCAAGATCACCAATACATTCTGAGTACAGAGAAGTAAATACACAGATGCATGGTTTGCACTCCATCTGTTGTATATTTTGATGAATCATTTAATTATTGCTAAAGTGCTGAAGTGATTCTCAGTGATGGTGTCACAGCACTCGTGGGGGTCTTGAGATCCTTTCAAAAAGTGTGTCGACAGGATTCACAAAATAAACCCAGAGATTTCAAATAGGATCCACAGCATCAAAAACATTCTGACCTGTTACGATCTTTCCAAGTTCCCTGCAATAGAAGAATTGCTCTATTTTTCTGCAGTCAGAAAGTAAATGAAAACTAAGAGCCAACAATTTTTGAGGGGTGCTTCGAATCTAAAAAGGGGTGATTAGAGACTAAAAAGGTTAATAAACTGCAGTAGTGCCCGCTATACAAACTGCGGGTAACCTAAGTTTACTGCAACTGAAAGGAATTAAGAGAAAATGCAGAATTATTTTCCTCTAGTATTTCCCTTTATATTTAAATCCCTTATTCACTTTGTAACACTTAAAGTGCCACTCGTGTTGCCAATGATAGACGTGAAAAACTAGGTTTTTTTAGTGGGAGCAGAAGGGAGTTTATGGGAGAGCATTGGGGGGTTGTATATGTATGGGGGGGGGTGATGGAGGGTGGG